ATGATCTACACTTGGTTCATGGCAGCACACTTCACCACAGCAGCGGGCAGCACACACTAAGATATTATTTTATCATTCTCCTGCAAGCTTGAGGGTGGTGGAGGCAACACACCAAGCTTGAGTCGCAACATTTGAAAAGATTCTTTAGGAATTGCTTTAGTTAATATATCAGCAACTAGAGAAGTAGATGGAACATGATAGGTGAGAAGAGAACCCCTGGCAATTTTTTCACGAACAAAATGGAAATCAAGCTCAATATGTTTAGTTCGAGCATGGAACACTAGATTTTTTGTCATAGCAAGAGCATTGGCATTATCACAGAACAAAATAGGTAGAGTAGCAAGTCGAACACCAATGTCACGAAGAAGATAAATGATCCATGTAATGTCGGCTGTAGAATAAACCATAGCCCCATATTCAACTTTGGCACTTGAGCAAGAAACTGTGGCTTGTTTCTTGGAAGACCAAGAGATACAATTAGCCCTCAAATAAACACAAGAACCATTTGTAGAGCGACGAGTATCCGGACAACCTACCCAATCGGCATCAGAAAAGGCATATAGACTAAGAGAGGAGCGGGGGAGTAGACGAAGACCATAATCCAAAGTGCGACAAAGGTATCGCAAAATACGTTTAACACCCTGAAGATGAAGAACACCATGTTTATGCATAAATTGACAAACCAAATTAACAGCATACGAAAGGTCAGGCCGAGTAAGAGTAAGGTATTGTAAGGCACCAACAATACTCCTATAGTTAGTTTCATCAACTAAAGGACCACCATCAAGACATAGCTTATGTTTTTGATCCAAAGGTGTGCCAATAGGCTTACAGCCAAGCATAGAAGCTTTTGAGAGAATTTCCCGAGCATATTTTTGTTGAGAAAGAAAAAGACCACCTGAAAATGGTATAACTTCGAGACCAAGGAAGTAATTTAGAGGGCCAAGATCTTTCATAGCAAATTCTGAACTAAGACGAGAAATAAGGGAGGACAAAAGTGAAGGCTTATTGCTGATGACAATTATATCATCAACATACACTAATAATAGAATAATATCTCCATGCGAGCGAAAGATAAAGAGAGAAGTGTCAGCTTGGCTACAGTTGAAGCCAATGTGAAGAAGAAACAGACTAAAACGATCAAACCAAGCCCTCAGAGCTTGTTTGAAACCATAAATAGCTCTATGTAGGTGACAAACATGATTGGAGAATTTAGGATGAGAAAAACTCGGTGGTTGCTCCATATAAACAAGTTCCTTCGGGTGGCCATGCAAAAATGCATTTTTTTACATCTAATTGCCGAATAGGCCATCTAGAAATGAGGGCAATAGAAAGAACTACTCGAATAGTTATTGGTTTGACCACGGGACTAAACGTTTCATCAAAGTCAATTCCTGCAAACTGATTATATCACTTGGCCACCAATCTAGCCTTGAAACGTTCAATCGAACCATCGAATTTAAGTTTGGCTTTAAAAACCCTCAGAGAACCTATAATATTCATATGAGCCTTTCATGGGACCAAGTCCCAAGTACCATTTTCTTCTAAAACCCTGAGTTCCTCATTCATTGCAAATACACAATGAGGGCTCTTGAGAGCTGCTTTAATGGTTTTGGGTTCACTTGTAACTGTGGGCAGAATAGTGAGCAAAGCTTGTTGTTGATGAGCTTTTTGTCGGGTGATCATTGGGTGAACATTATGTGATTGGATAGTGCTTGATTCATGTAGAGGCCGAGAATGTTGTTGCATATAGGACTCGGCATTTGAAGAATCCATGTTTGAGTCATGCCGAATTAACGGTGTGTCAGGGGACAATGGCAGTAACTGTTGAAGAATCTAGGGCAGTAAGAGGGAGTTCCGCATAAAGTTGTCCTGGCATCATATGTTGTGATTGGATAGTGCTTGAATCATGAAGAGGCCGAGATTGTTGGTGCATAGAGGACTCGATATTTGAAGAATCCATGTGTGAAATATTTTGAAGTGATTGTGTGGCATTTGTCATGGCAGTAACTAGAGTTGGATTTTCAGCTGGTAAGGGATTAGATTCTGCAACATATTGGATGCTAGGTTCCAATGTGTTGTTATTCTCATGGGACTCATCGCATAGGAGACCAATTGAGGGGGGCATGTTCTGCTGCTGTGAATTAGACTGTCCAATAGAATGAGCAGTGGATTGCTGGGTAATGGATGAGGATAACCACTCTGCAAAGTCTGAATACGTGAAAACATGTCCACTATCCTATGAGGAAGAGAGAAGCAATGTAGAGTTAGTGAAGGGCAGAGTAGTTTCATCAAACACCACATGCCAAGAGAGAAATACACTTTTGGAGGGAGGATGAAGACAATGATATCCCTTGTGAGTAGGACTGTATCCAATGAAAACACATGGGTAGGACTTTGGCTCAAATTTACTCTTGGCATAATCTCTTATATACGGAAAACAACGACAGCCAAACACCTTTAATGAATTATAATCTGGATTTCTTCCATGTAACTTAAAAAATGGAGTTTCCATTTTGAAAGTGGAAGACGATAGCCGATTAATAAGGAACACAGCTGTAAGGAAAGCTTCAATCCATAAATTTTTTGGTAAATGGTCATGGAAGAGCATGGTAAGTCCTGTTTCTACTATATGACGATGTTTTCGTTTAGCCACCCCATTTTGTTTTGGTGTTCCAGGACAGGAAATACTTCTGTGTATGCCACATTGATATAAATGATGTATGAAGTCCTTTAGCCCAAATTCACCACCTCCATCACACTGAAAAATTTTTATCCTTCGTTCAAATTGATTCTCTACCAATTTTTGAAAGGTAAGAAAGGTGTGAAAAAAGTCAGATTTGTGTTTCAAATGATAGAACCAAGTGTACCGTATACAATCATCAACAAAAATCACGTAGTATCAAAAGTTCTATACGGAAGCCACAGGAGCTGGTCCCCATAAATCACAATGAATTTTTTCTAATGGAACATTTGTGATTTTATTATTCAAAGAAAAGGGTAGCCGACAACTCTTACCCATTTGACAACTACTACAAACTTTCTTAGTATTCATCTAACTAGAAACATTTAGAACATTATTAATCTGTAAAAGACGAATCAATTTGGAGTTTGGATGTCCCAGATCAACAGGTGCCCAGTCATTTTTGATTGCTAATAAAGCTTCATCTGCTTTCTCCCGATCTAAAGCATAGAGACCCCCTTGTCTATGTCCTGTTGCTAGTATCCTCCCCGTTGCTTTGTCCTTTATCTTAAAACCAGAAGAGCAAAATTCAAAAAGACATGAGTGATTCTTTGTTAGTTGACTAACTGAGAGCAAATTTTTCCTTATCCCAGGGAAAACTAAAACTTTGTCGAGATCTATTTTTCCATGTGAAGTGTTCAAGATTGTGTTACCAACAAATTTGTAAAGGAGAGCCATCACCAACAATAACATTTTCATGCCCCTTATAGACTCTTGAAAACTGAAGGTTACCTGCATCCGACGTCATATGGGAGGTGGCTCCGGTGTCAGGCTACCAATTCGGGTCTTGATTATGTGAATTTGATATGGTGGTTGCTGCAAGGGCTTAAGGTAACTTTTAATCGACATCATAAGCATAATCATACCTGAACCAACATTTTGTAGCTATGTGAGCAAAACGATTATAGATTTGGCATTGAGGAGCATTGTTTTGGAAGGAAGTGCCCTGAGCATTTGAGCTTCTCCCCCCTTGTCGTTGGAGTGTGCCTTGCTGAAAATTATTACCTCGATTTCCCTGCATGGATCCACTTTGGCCATCAAACTGATTTTGTGAGGAACTATTTGTTGAATTCTGATTTCCACGAGATGTGGTGTTTGGGGAGTGATTAGTAGTGAAGCCCTGACCTTTAGAGCCAAAATTATTATTATTACGACCACGATTGAAATTGTTGCCATGACCTCTGCCACCATTTCGTTCAATAGCAAAGGCAAAATTATATTTGCCTCCTTTTTATTTTTGAGCTATGTTCTTCATTTCGTAGGTCATAGTTTTGTAAAGCAGTGATGAATTGACTGAAAGTCGGAAAAGGAGTCTTAGAGAGCATGGCCGTAATGAAAACATCATATTTTTTTTCCAAGACAATGAGACAATTGGACAGTCTTGTCTTCATCAGAAACTGGTTTCTGAATAGCTGCAAGACTATCACATATAGTCTTAAACTTCATGAGATATTCATCCAGAGATGCTGTCTCTGTTTTTGGTGTTTGAAGTTTGCGTTTAAGCTGGAGTTCCCTTTCTTTAGTTGCTTGTAGATAAATTTCTTCAAGGTAGTTCCATACCTCTCGAGAGGTATTTAGGCCAACAACAAGACTAAGGGCTGCTTCAGAGAGAGTGTTGGTGATCCAACTGCGTAGCAACAGATCAGTGTGCTGCTATTCCTCATACTCTGGATTTGAGACTTCTTTATTCAATTCTGTGAGCATCATTGGTGCTGGAGAATCAATGGTGAAATGATTCATAAGGTGAAGGCTTTGAATCAAAGGAAGTATTTGCATTCTCCATATAAGATAATTGGTCGAGTTTAGTTTAACCGAGACTATGGCAATGAGGTGGTGGAGATTGGAGGTTGAAAGAGAGAAGGATGTTGTTGATGCAGCCATTCGATATTTGTATTGAGAGCTTATGGCTCTGATACCATAAAGAAGTTAATAAAACGAAGTAGCTTATGACCAAAAACATAGCCATAGATATTGAGAAATTCTTTATTATATAGTAGTACACGTGATAGAGTCCAAACTAATTTCAAGACTATAAAATGTATCCTAATAGAAGACGTAACCTATCCCAAGGATCAGAAGAAACTCTCTGTGAAAAGACATCCTTTCTCATATGGGTCTTCATTAGTTATCTCCTACTTAATCTATAGATAAATAAGAGAAGTCCATCAAGTAAGTGTGCTGAGATAAGATAATCATGATTAACAACTATGATCCGAACCACATGGCATAAGTGTGCTGCATGATCTACACTTCGTTCATGGCAGCACACTTCACCACAGCAGCGGACAACACACACACTAAGAGATTATTTTATCAATTTTCTCTTGTTGATGTTTGTTTTAAGCTCTTGTGGTTAGTGACTCTGCGTTGAAGTTTTATCATGTTGGTTATTTGACGCAAGAACATAGCATGGTTTTGGTGTATATATATATATATATTTCTTGATCTTATAGATAAAATTCAAGATTCAGATTCTAAAAGAAAGACTATTGAACAATATTTAGAGATAAATCCAGAAGAAAAGAGACCACCATAAGTTATTTTTTATAGCATATTTAAGTATTCTGTAGAAGAATTTACTTTTTTAGTGTCTTCTTCTTTAATTAGCATTTTCTCTAAGGTCAAAAGCCTTTGTTTTATTGCTTTTATCTCAACTTTAAGTTGGTGAATCTCTCTTTTAAGGTGTTGTAACGAAGTTGGGGAACCTTCCTTAATTTGAGTATTTTTAATCATCATATTTTCTGTCCTATTAAGGACTTCTACAAGTGACAGTGAGAAGAACAAGTTTTATCTTGATATGCATTTTCTTCATCAAAGGATGAATTATTGATTTCATTAATTTTATATTCTTCTTCAGAAGACGAACTATTAGAAGAGTCTTCTAGTTCACTTTTGGAATTTAAGACAATTTTTAAAATTTAATTTTTAAGATCTTTATCCATTATTAATTCATTAATTTGTTGTTTAGTTAAACACTTAGAGACAATATGACCATCTTTTTCGCACTTAAAACATTTAATAGACTTCTTATCATTTTCTTTAGTTTTTTTAGTGGGTTTATTAATCTTTTCCTTTTCATAATTATTTTTATAGAATTTTTTGCTTTTCTTATAAGGTTTAGAATAAGTGTTTGTTTTAGAAGAAACATTTTCTTTTGGAATATCAACATTATAATTAAATTGATTACAAAAATCTTCAAGCTCTTTCCTACCGGTTAACTTTTGTCATTTAAGTTGAGTCTTGAGATTTAAATCATTATAGAGAGTTAAACTTTTTGAAATATATTCAGAAATTAGTTCTTCATAAGTGTAGTTTTCACAAGGGATTTTAAATCCTCCATATCTTTGCTTTAAGCGAATTTTTATTTTTTTAACAAATAAGCTGAGTAATCCAGATATAAATTTTTCTTTCCAAAATTCATTATTAGCATTTGTTCTTAATAAAAGTTTTGCCAAAAATATATCTTTATACCACCTAAAATGTATATATATATATATATATATGGTGACATGCAAATTTCAGTGAACAAGAGTCTGTTATTGTGTTAAAAAGAAAAAGGGTTGGAGCATGCTCATGTTTTTTGAGATTATGGTATTAGCTTATGTTCTTAATTTTCAATAGGGAATTTACAATTATGTTTGAAAGTGGAATTGATGCAGCGTTTGCTTTGCACAAGACTGATGAGGCATACCTATTCAAAGGAGATTACTACGTGCGCATCAACTTTGCTCCTGGCACCATAGATGACAACATTACTGGTGGCATCAAGAAGATCCTTACCTATTGGCCCTCTTTACGTAGCATCTTGCCTCTCAAAAATAGTGCATGAACTTTAAAAAGTCAATCTTATGTGCTAAAGTGTGTATGCAATGGGGATTAGGGTAATCTTATATCCTCCTCCTTCAACCACCTTATAAATAAAACTCATAGAAAGTTTTTTACTTTCAAATACATTCATCTTCACGTGCATACCTCATTTTTAAAAAAGAGTTGCATGCTATCTGTGCAAGTCTCAATTTTGTCCCGAGAACTTTGAGCAAAGGAAAATTATGTTGACAGTAATCGTAGATGGGGGAAAATTTTAATTTTTATTAATATAACAAAACAATAAGAGGACCCAATGATATTTCAATCAATCAAGTCACTCCACATTGAGACTTGATGGTTGACCGCTATATTGTCTAGTTAGGATAAAAAATTAATCTAGTCAAGTCGCATTGTGTTATGACTGTATTCATTCTTATTTATCTCGAGTACTAACTAATATGATATAGCATACACAATTGTTATATGATTTGATATAAATCGGTATGTTCTGTAAAACCCAAAAAATTTAAAACTTAATTAAAAAGAGAAAAACGATAATTAGTTATTATAATACAGGCTGAAAATTCAAATATTTTTAAAATTCGGATGATGAAACAGACCTCACTGTTAGATTTGTCTCACGAAAATGAGTTGGGTGTACAAATTTCGTTAAATTATGAGATAATCGAAAAAATCACGCATTACAAGGTGAAATTACGTAATCGGGCATTATGTGATTAAAATTTCAATAACTAAATTTTTATTCGCGAGACCTTTAATATTTTTAAAATAGTTAGTCAAAAAAATATTATTTACCTTGACACATGTCAAATTGTAATAGATTTTGAGAGATTTCAAGCCAATTTAAAAAAGGACACATGACAATATCTACGCCAAGCATTTGAGAGAAAAAAGACGAAGTAAGACTTGGTTTTCCATTTTTGCTCTTGGATGACAGAAGGCGTGAGAGAAAGTCAGATAGAGGCACTCTCAATAAAAAAACAAAGTCAGAAAGAGGAAAAGCTCAAAGTTCTTTAATTCCTCTTCACTTTTTTTCAATTTTATCTTTCAATCCAACTGTTAAAATTTGATCAGGCAAGGACAAAAGTTGTTCTACACACCAAGGCCTGTCCCTTGACACCAAGATCGCCCATATTCCTTCACGTTTTGCTGCCCAGATTTTTTTGGACAGCAGCTGAGTCAACTCTGTTTTGAGTTGTTTGGTTCACTCCTTCAGGTATTTGCTCGGGTTAGCTTGACTACTTCAAGGAGGTTTCTTCACCACCATTTTACCTTGCATTTTGAGGGGTTTAAAGCTTCAAATACAAGGTAGGGTTCCTTTCTATTCAGTATTAATTTCGAACTAGTGTGTATGTGGGTTGGGTTAAGTGTAGGATTTATAGTTAATTCTTTAATTTATGGAGCCCTATTATGATTAATTTGTTGTGTTAGAATTAGTGGCTTAAAGCATGATAATTGTAAATTAACATGGCCTTGAGGAATTTATGACATATCAAGTATAATTGATTTATTAGCACATGATATGGGTATGAATTCATATGTATATTAAATGGACAAATTAGCAAGTGACTAGTATGGTCAATTGTGCTTATGTTTAATGAAATGAATGAACTTGTTGCTATGTGAAATTATGTTTATTTAATTAATAAACATATTCCTATGTTGATAGTGACGAGCACACTAGGTGTATAATTTGATGCATATTACATGTTGATGAAATGCTGTGATAATAAATATATGCATTTCTTTTGTATTTGAGATTATAAGTCAATTTAAATTGCATTTGGGCATACATGGCGTGCATGGGTTTAACACAGCATCCATGATGCATTGGTATGGTAGTATGTATTTGTGCAAGGTTTGATCACTTACCACATAGGTGAGTGGGTGGGGCTTGAGAATTGGATTAATTCTGGTTAAGTCTCACAGGAATATGATTGATAATTTGTCGGGGTATAGCAAGAAGGGATAGATTCTCCCTCGGGTGCAAAACCCAGTTTTGTCTATTACACGCTATCCAGTGGTGTAACGAGTCCATAAAAGTGTGATGGCGTATGCGGAGTTGGAGGTGGGATGTTTTCGGAATCCGTGTCAATTTGGTAGTCCGTTGGTGGAAGTCCGTAAATTACCTATCTCATAACGACAAGATAATAAATGGAAGTTCATTGCGTATATCTCAATGGTGTGGGCATGGAGTGTCCGGTGCATGAGCATGACATCACATGAGTTGGGTTCGGGGTTCGGTTATGCATGCATGAAACATTACCTCATATCATGACATGGCTAGTAGCATTTATTAATGCAGATGGTGCATATATGAACACTCCATGTTTGTGAATTGTATCACCCATCATGTGCATCATTGGCTTGGGAGGCATACTTTATAGAAGATACCCTACTAAGTATTGGGTCACTTGGTTGTAGGAAAACATTTCAGGTACAGTGCATATTTTTTAAGATAGCCCACACTTGGGCCCAATTTGATGATAAAGTTGATGTTCAAGCTCCTATTTTGATGTCATAAATACTTTTAGTCTCAATTGTAATTACTTAGGTAGCCTTGTATTTTTTAAATATACAACACGTGTATATTATTTTGTAAAGGCATGTAATTTGGGGGCATTTGTTTCTATTCTTTTGACAAATGAAAGATTTGTACATTTGGAGTTGTTGGCTGATGTTTAAGGCAAGAGAATTGTTTAAATGTTTACATTGGACCTTGGAAGGTCAATGTAATTGCCTTGAGACAAGTTATGTTTTGCGGTTGTCAACTTTTTTAATAAGACTCACTCATCCAATGTTCATCCAAAGAATGATATGTATTTGAATTATAATTTTTGAATTTATTTGAGTTATATAACGTTTTCCTTTCATTAAATCCAAGAATTATCATATTCAAGTCCTTATAAACTCCAACCTACTTAGTCATTATGTAATGAATGATGACTTTTGAGTGACGTTGCCGCATAATGCAAGTATAATTTGCATCGGTGCTATGTGCTACCCTCTAATTAAATGAATTATGGTTGGTACAAGTACAAAACTCTATAACCATGCAGTAGCATCATGTGCAGTAGCCTCATGGGTATATATCCAATTATTTAATCCGATGTGAGTTTGTCCTTATCCGACGAGTGGACCGTGGATCCAATCTTTTCACATGTTCTTTCTTTATGATTCTTTGGACCTAGATTCTCTTTTAAGGAGTTGACCGTTTAACATGAGGCCAGTCTCCCCCTACATTTTTTTCCTCCTTGAAGTCACATGCTTAAACCATAAAAATAGGAGGACTTACAGGTGGTGGGTTGACTTTCTTATGGATCCTCCCACAGTTCCCAACTCCCAGTCTTTTCCTTTTTTACATCCATCTTCTACATGTGACCCACTAAAATTAGATATACCACATTCTCATTAAATCCGACCCTCCCAAGCTCCACCCAAATGATTTCGTAAATCCACGTTTTCGTGTATGGTCTTCAAAGTATTCGATCATTAAAATCAAAGAATTGAAATTCCTCCATAACATATTGACTCTAATTGGTCAGAAAACTCAAAACGGAGAGAAAGAACTCCTTTGTTAAATAATATCGCCTGTATAAAGAGGTTCATCATCAAATTTTTATATGCACCAACATATATATATATATATATATATATAAAGAGATAGAGAGAGAGAGGGAGAAAGAGAGAGACAGCAAGAGGTACGAGACTATGACAGATTGCCCGATAAGACATTTGGCTGGGGTTGGTTTCGTTGTCAGTGTCGGGTTCAATGTTCGGATTCAATGTTCGGATGATAGAGAGATGGAGAGGTAAGGGTTAGTTCAAAACTGAACAAAAAATATGTTAAGTTAAAAAAATTGTTAATGTAGCAAGGCCATAATGAGAGACTGCCATAATATTAACTTGTGGGACACAAAGTTGATTTTTTGAAGAAAAAAAAAATTGACAAATAAGTTATAACTGACAACTATTCATTGAAAATGTTTAATATTTTATTAGTGATATACATTATATAACAATGTCACGGGGTATGTTAAACCCACGGGAAATTTACTCTCACGACTCTTATGAAGGTGTGGAAAAGTCATGATCTCGTGAAAGCGGCATTACTAAAAGGAAGAATTTTCATCAAGTCCATGAACTACAATATTCAAGCTACTTGGTCATTATATAATGAATGTTCACTTTTGAGTCATTACCTCCCCGAATTATGGTTGGCTCAACTTTCCGAGGAGTTGACCCTGAACTCGTTCACTAGAGTAATTCAACAATATTAAGTGTACTTAATTTACTGACCCAAATGAATTATTGTTATTAGATTGATAGTGATCTAAAGTATTAACTAGAAGCAGCGCAAGTTAGAGACAACTGCTGAGCTCGAGGGAGTAGTCTGCACAAACTTAGACACCCTATAACTGAAATAAAAAAAAAAAAAAAAACCTAGAACCAATTACAAATTCGATAGTTATGATATATTAAGCAATCAAATTATATTCAAATAACATTTTTCTAATTAAAAATGAACATGCATTAACTTTCCATTATTTGTTGGTGCTTGATGAATCTCCGATCTTCAATTTTAAATGTTTAGTGAATCCTAGCCACACATGCATGCTAGGAATTCGGAAGACTTTGCCTTCCCAAATAACAAAATACACCCGACCTTTGAGACAGTTGAAGTCTTCACAAGTCGGGTGTATGATTCCATTAGTGTGAAAAAGACAGGAAGCAACATTTTTTAGACATCTTTTGTGGACTTTTATGCATGTTCAATTTGTAAACTTCCATGTGGTTTGTGGCTAAGGCTTAACCACTTCTATATATACCCCCCCCCCCCCCGGTCCTTCAGGATTCCTAATCGATCATCAATCAAATTCTGTTGGGCTTTACTTCAGTTAAGGTGATGGAAGTTTACGTTATTGTCTCTTGTTAATGTTAGTTTTAAGCTCTTGTGGTTAGTGACTCTGCGTTGAAGTTTTTTCATGTTGGTTATTTGATGCAAGAACATAGCATGGTTTTGGTATAATGTTTGACCCTATATTTATATGGTGACATGCAAATTTCAGTGAACAAGAGTCTATTATTGTGTTAAAAAGAAAAAGGGTTGGAGCATGCTCATGTTTTTTGAGATTATGGTACTAGTTTATGTTCTTAATTATCAATAGGGGTTTTCTAAGAACATTCTCTTAGCCTGTGTTAAGGCTTTCCTTGCGCTGACTAGTAATTTCTAAAAATCTCTAGATGGATTTGTAATTATGTTTGTTTTGCTTTCATGTTATCCTCACAATATGAATGATTAATTCCAATTAAAAATATGCAGTTCAAGTATCTTATTATTTGTGTCTTCCACTAACCTTGTATGAGTTTGTTATTCTTATAAATAACATTCGGATTTTTTTGGTGATCAGTACTAATGAGCGTAATGATTTACATCACTTTTAAATTAATTGGGCAGGTGAGAGAACAAAATGGCTTACATAAATGCTGCATTTCGTTCGTCCCATGTAAATGAAGCCTATTTCTTCGCGAACAACGAGTATGTGTTAATGAACTATGCTCCAGGCACGGCAAATGACAAGGTGTTGTTTGGACCGCATCTTATAGCTACTGGATTTTCATCCCTCAAAGGCACAGCCTTTGCAGAACCTGGAATAGACTGTGCTTTTGGGTCTCATCATAAGGATCAAGCGTTCATCTTCTCTAAAAATCTTTGTGCACAGATTAACTACGCACCACACTCTGCAAATGACAGGATAATCAAAGGACCGATGACCATCACTGCAATGTTCCCCTTCTTCAAAGGGACGGTGTTTGAAAACGGCGTAGACGCCGCGTTTGAGTCAACGAAAGACTATGAAGCTTACCTCTTCAAAGACAACCAATATGCTCTTATTAACTACGACTACGATTCCCACCTCATCTCCACCCGTCTCATCAATCGAGGCTTTCCTAGTTTGAAAAACACCATCTTCGAAAGCGGAATTGATGCAGCGTTTGCTTTGCACAAGACTGATGAGGCATACCTCTTTAAAGGAGATTACTACGCGCGCATCAACTTTGCCCCCGGCACCACAAATGACTACATCACTGGTGGCATCAAGAAGATCCTTCCGTATTGGCCCACTTTATGTAGCGTCTTCCCTCGCAAAAATAGTGGGTGAACTTTAAAAAGTAGTCTTATGTGCCAAAGTGTGGATGCCATTCTTCGAATAAGAGTTTAGCTCGGGTTGGCTGTTTCTAGTTTATCTTTAGTTGGAATAATTAAGGATGTATGTTGTGGGGATTGGGGTTATCTTATCTCCTCCTTCAACCACCTTATAAATAAAACTCATAGAAAGTTTGTTACTTTCAAATACATTCATCTCCACGTGCATACCTCATTTTAAAAAAAGAGTTGCATGCTATTTATATGCAAGTCTCAATTTTGTCCCAACTATGAGCAAAGAAAAATTATGCTCACTGTAATCGTAGATGAGAGAACATTTGAATTTTTATTAATATAAGAAAGCAATAGGAGGACCCAACGATATTTCAATCAATCAAGTCACTCCACACTAGGACACGATGATTGGCCGCTATATTAATCTAGTTAGGTTCATTCCCAATAGGAGTGATAGGCGCGATCAGGGACCTCAAGATCCCACCAATGAAGGTCTACTGGGGTGATTTCTGAATGCTCTTCGTTAACCCCACCCCTTTAATAAAGTAAAAAATCAATCTAGTCAAGTTGCATTGTGTTATGATTGTATTTAATCTTATTTATCTCTGGTAGTAACGAATATGATTTAACTTACACAATTTTTATTTGATATGATAGAAATCGGTATGTTAAATAATGATAAAAGATATTGTCACGGTTAGTTTTACACCCCTATCAAAGTGGATTAGACCCAAAGAAAAATGTCTGAATGTTTTTGCTTGGACTACAGTTCCCGGGTACAAAACGATTCTTTGGCTCATTTCACAGATGGTTCAGCCCTAATGGCTCAACATATTGTTCTTTTGGGTAAGTAGTCCAACATATTGCTTGAGGAAGAGCTACAACCAGTAATTAGGCCTATCGATTGTGTTAGGTGAGGTGAGTGCGTATTAGATCTTAACATATTCTTGTGAAAAAATATTCTACTCATCCCCTGTTCGTATTAATTCATGTCTAAAAGAATTATGTCATATTGAGTTTGTGTCGTGTATAATCGGTATATAAACAAGTCGTGTATTTTTTTTGATTGACTTTACTTATACTCAATTTTTTTATTAATCATGTTGTATCGTATTAAGTCCACTTGTTTACAAAATTGATAACTTAAGAAAGAGCGAAATACTCTAAAATTATATTATGTTCATGTCATATTAACAAATCATGTCATACTTTGATACCCCTACTGCAAATCAACTAATCATTCAAGGGTGTAGCTTGCAAGAGTGTTAGGAAAGTTAAAACATGTCCTCAGAGTGTCTTTCCCTTCTATAACCAGCTTCACTCCTCAGAAATAGCAGTGCGCCTCCAAACAGGCACGTAAATTTGTTGTGACACATGAAATTGATCCCAAATTGCTACAAATGTGAGGTGCCCCATACCTTTTAATGTTTCAGGTTACAAGTTTGTAAATATATTTTACCTTATTGTGGTTTGATTGAGTTGTACCCTAACTCAAAACATGCAAATAGATTAAAGTGAACAACTAACATGTTTTGACTCAGTTATGATACAGATTAATTGGTTTTCGGGTTTCTTGTCATTTTAGATTTGTTTCAGTTTGTAAAATTGAAATCCCTATGTTTTCTGTTCATAGAACAAAATTACAAATATTTATTAGAGGGGTATTTGAGTTATTTTGTATCACTATTTTAGTCACAATTTTCTCTCTAGATGTTTGGCCATAAATTTTAAGGGAAATAAATTTACAAATGCTTTTCTAGAACATAACCTCCTGAATGGAGATTATCCGCATGGGTCTAATGTGTAAGGGGTTATATGCAATGTAGCTAAACCATAAGGAGGTAAATACAATATACACGAACTCTTAAGCCATGCGTTTTTGTTGTGTTATTGTAGCATGATGGAATGAAGCTTGAGGATCGAGTATGTACTGGGATAGCATGAGTTTGCAGTTGAAGTTGCTATTTTGGTGAATGAAAAGGGAACTCCTTCAACAATATAAAATGTGATTAGTGGCGGGACTAGAATTTCACTTTAGGGTCAACACAAATATGAATAACAAAATTTCATTAATTGATAAAAACTATTAAAAGTTTGGATATATTTTTAAACACAAACATAAGAAATATGTTAATGATCAAAACTAAAATATTAGAAGAAAGTATATCTAACATTATGTAGCTTTACTACGACATGGAACAAAAAAGAACAAAATGTCATGTCATAGTCATAATTATTAATATCGTACGATATGTGTTACGTGTTGTACAATACGTCACAAGACATAATGAAAACTATATGAATCAGGTCTTTGTATCATTTTTGTATAATATTGTTCGATACATAATGCAATATGTATTGTTCGATACACACGATACACGGAAGTCTCTGTTTGTTTTTTTGGGCTGAAAACGTCATTTCACCAAAGTCTAGTTTTTATCGCTTTAGCCACTGAAATGACATCGTTTCAGTGGTTAGGGTTTACAAAAAAAAAATAAAAGTTATCTTCTATTCTCTCTTTTTTTCATCGACGAAGCTATTGACTGCCCACAAAAAATGTAGAAGGGAAAAGATCATCAATGACGATCTGTAACTGCCTCTTCTTCTTCCTCTGGATTTGCAACAGCCTTTTTTTTCCTCTAGATCTGCAACTGTTTTCTTCTTCCTCTTGGTCTGCGCCTGTTATTTCCTCTAGTCTGCAGTTGCCTTTTTCCTCTTGTCTACGGTTTCCTTCTTCTTCCCTTGTATTTGTGAAGTTATTTGACTATAGTTGCTGAGTTCTTCATTCCTCTAGTTCTTATGCTTGCACAAAAATCCAAAAATCAAACAATCCGGTGAGTTTAGTAACAAACTGTTTCCATTTTTTTTTTCAATTTATTCTATATAAAAAACATGTTTGAAAAGTGTTTTTTTTTTCTGGATTGTTTGTAAACAACCCCAAAATTTGAAAACATGAAAATAGGTGTTTTCAGAAAAGGGGAAAACTGAAAACACATGCATCCCTCAATCTCAATCAATGAGGTCTGATCTTCGAACCTTATTACTTGTAAAAATTGAGTTTTTTTTTGTGCCAAGTATAAAAGCTTGTTTACCCTTTTGTTGCCTCTTCTCTCTAGATCGCCTCTCTCACAATGCCAGCGATGCTTGTTACCAAGGGAATGAGCTGCCAACACTCCATCTCCATCACAATTGGGTCTCAAGGTCAGGTTTCTCTCGTTCCATCTCCATCTCTCTCTCTCTCTCTCTCTCTCTCTCTTTGTGTGTGTGTGTGCGTGTGTGTGTGTGTGTAACTCCTCTCTATGGAATCAAATATATAGCCCTAGTTCTATGTATATAATATTATATACATAGATTTGTATATCTATTCATATATAGGCCTAGATCTATGTATTTATTGTTATATTCATAAGTGAATGTGTATGTGTGTGTTTGATGGGTGTATATGTTTGAGCATGTGTGTATATATTTTCTTCTGTGTGTGTGTTCTTCTAAGTGTGTGTATATATGATGTATTTTTCTTTCTCTCATCTTTTGTGTGCATTTGTGTGTGTGTGCATCTATATTGTTGTATGTGCAGGGGCGGCTCAAAAAAGCTTGGGGCTTAAAGCGAAATTTGTAGATGAGGCTTTTTTTCAATTGTCTACATCTTTAATTCTTCCATTCTTTCTTGCGATATGATCGATCTTAAGTAAGACTTTATTAATTTTAAAACTTTATTTCCTAATATTTTTTCTTTTTGTTTTTTGTATATTTTGCATGTAGAATAGTTGTTTTGCATATTTAACTCTCATCATGAATATTTTTATTTTTATTTTTTTGTTGTATCTTTTTATTATTTCTTATTCTTTGGGATCTATTAATTATTTATTTGCAGGACTTTAACCTATTTTTCTTTAACATTGTGTTTGCTCATAGGAATAAATAGATCATTTTAAGATTCAATTATTTTATAATTTTCTCATTTTTTAGAAAAAAATTTCATATCTAGGTGATTAGTTTCTAGTTGTCATATTTATAATACATAATCAATTAATTAGTTCTAAAGAACCATATGGTATTTATAATTACATAATATAACATGAGCTTAAAGTTACAAAAAAATATAAAAACAGTATAGTTTGATTTGTCATAGTTATTTTCAACATTAAAATTTGATATTTTAGTTATTCTTGATTAAAGTTTGCAAAATTAAGTGGGTTATATTATGTGGGTTTGATTTGGTGTATGATTTAATATGAAAAGTTTTGTGTGTGTGTGTGTGAGAGAGAGAGAGTTTTGTTTATGTTTAATTGGAGATGTAAGGGTGTGTGTGTGTCTGTGAGTGAGAGAGAGAGAGAGAGAGAGAGAGAGAGAGAGAGAGAGGAGTTTTGCTTTTATTATTTTTGTTTTACTGCACTGAGTTTTGATTGTTGCAATAAAATGAGTAGACTATATTTTTTGGCCCAATTATTGAATCTGAAATTTAGTTGTTCGGTGTACACTTTATAGAGGCTTTCGTAGAGTTTATATTGTCATATATTTAGAAACTTGGACTGAATTACAATGTATATTAAAAAGTTTGGGACATTCTTTGTAGTTGGGGCCTAAAGCCTTCGTTTTTTCGATTACACATTTGGGTCAGCCCGGTGTATGTGTGTGAATTATGAATTATGAATTGTGATTTATGAATTATAAAGTATGAATTGGGATTTAAGAATTATGAAGTGTGATTTATGAATTATCTATTGGGGTATTTTGTCAAGCAAAAAGATGTGAGTTGTGAATATCCAGGTGTTGATATTCTTTTCGGGCATCTAGATGTTTTCTGGAAATCGAATCTGTCCACTATGCATCAAGAATTCAATTAGCATGATCACAACATGGAAATGTTTTAGTAGATTTTCACACAGTCACATAAATCTTCTTTCTGTTTGCCGTGCTAAACAAACTTAATTGTTTCATCTTCAATAGAGAAAGATTGAGGATCAAGTAGGAAAATCCTTTCATTGCAGCAAGTT